ATTAAATAGTAAACACTTATTTTTAAAAATAAACCTATTTCAAATGCTCCACTTGTTTTCGTCTCTAGTATATATTTTCTTTATTTATTATAACATAGCTATTGTATTATGACTATCATTTGCATCAATGATTTGTGAAAATTTCATTTGCTATTGAGAAAGATCCATATGTATTTCGAAAAATAAAATGTTTATTATTATTCTTTTCATTTAACCTTTTTGTTCAATGTTGTACATACATAAAAAAAACAGTTGAAAATTCTACTTTTTATCAGTACCTTAAGTTGAAAATCATTGTATAAGCAAAATCTTAATTTAGATAACATTCAATTGTGTCTGGGAGATAATGATGTAATGATTATATGTTTTTCATCACATGCATATTCATGTATGAATCCAATAGATGATATTTTCTTCTTTCTATTGCATCTCCGATTAGATAGAAGGTGCAGGCGTGTTGAAGTAGCTTTGCTTTGTTTCTCATGAAACGCTCACAATAAGGAACACTTTATAAACAATTAGTGATTCGCTTTCTTTTCACATTACTTTCCTTACTATGAAGAAAATTATTTTGTGAAAACCTCAATGAGAATAAGAAACATCTAACATACGTCTCATTGACATTATGTCAAATTGACTAGGAGACACATCGCAATTAATTCATGGATGATTTTCTTATTAGTATGTAGAGTTAAAAATAAATTTTTATTCCCATTACATATCAATAAAATTTCGTGTCACTTCGAATGACTAAAAAATGTCAGTTGATGTTAGTGGATGGAGTCGACTGCAGAGATGCTTTATGATTGTTTAAAGCATATCTTCAATTGACAACTTCTACGAAGAAAACTTGTCAAATTTAAACAGATTGAAATAGTTCTTAAATAAAATTAAATGCAGAGTCAATAAATGCTTTGCGTGACTTGATTGAGTCATGCTTACGTACTTTCAAGTTAGTTGCACACGAATTTCACATAAATTAGACTAACAAAGTTATGTCGGCAAAAGATAATATTAAATTGAGTTAAGAATAATGAAATTAGCTAATAGGAAAGCAAGAGATAGACCAGTTGTAACTTGAAAGGTTGATGAGAAATTATGAAACGAGAAAACGACAATCAATACGTCTATGTTTAGTGTTGAACATCGACATAAATAGCAAGATTTCAAACGAAACTGAAATTTCTCCAAAAAAAGATCAATCGTGAGAATTGCCGGATTACGCTATTATTCTTTAACATAGGCGATTTTCTTTACTGAAAGTTTGAATTGATGAAGTCACTCGTCACCCTGCCATAAAGCATGTTTAAGATCGATTCTATTCGTTAATACCATACATATTCGTTGGAACCTGATCACACATGTATGAAGTTTTTATTTTTTCATAGTACGATGCAATTTTTATTTATATTATCACCAAAAAACAAGAAATTGTTTTAACAACATGAATTTCAATGAAAGAATTATTCATTGAGGAACCGTTGTTAACTTCCTAGTCAATTTGAAATATCTTCAATAAAACATATACTCGTCTGCTATTATCTTTTATGTGCGTAGTTGTATTATATTATTAAATCTCAATTTAAATGAGTTAGGGTTATAGTTCAAAAGAAAATCAAATTTTCGACTGATTCTGAATAACAAAGAAGAACAATAGAAAGTTAAAGAAATGATAGAAAAAACATTCATTGATTGTTAACGAGTAGGATACGCAGCGCAATAAAAAAATAACCGAATAGTATAATCAACTTTCCTATAAGAAATTTGATTACATGTTTTTAACGAGAGTAATGCATCCTAGTTCATGTGGAAAAAAGGATTATTGTTTATGAAATTTTACGAATTCTTTATTTTAAAACTTGATATCTACACGACTTTATTGCAATGGCTTATTTCTAAGAATAGTTTGCTATACTATAACACATTTCATAGTAGAAATTAATATAGTAAAAGTCACCAAATGACAAAGAAGATGACTTTAAAACTGTCAAAGAAAATTGTCATCTTGCGATAGTCAGAGTTGAATTTCAACAGACTGAATATACATATTTTTTCTTCATTTAAGAAACAATTCCGTACACTTTTTCTATTGAAACCTCATGAGCAACACGAACTGGTAATTATTTCTTTGAGAAGAAAAAGAAACTAATAACATAAACGCAAAAAGCACAGAGCTTTTGTTTCAAGAGAACAAACAAATTATACAATATTGTATAGCACTTGGCAAACTGTGAATTATATGAGAAACGGCAAGATATTTTCAAATAAATTAAAACTTCAAGTACTCAAAAACTCTAGCTGTTATGAATTCATGATATATTGTCAAAGATTTCAAAATAAATTAGTTACAAAAAGTGCTAAATAAATACGCAAATGAAAATCAAAAAGTAGTAAATATAATTAAACTTTTTGTCTTGTCGATTCAATTACCATAGGGTGTGCGCGTGGGTGTGGATGTTCTCTTGATCCAGCTCCACAAACACCCACACTCACACCCACCCTCTTCTTAGAATCCCTATCTATAAAAATGGTTCTTGAGTTCTTCTCAAATTGTTCTATTATAACATTTGGCTGATTTCAGCACTATAATTAAGCAAACTTGTTCAGGATGCGGACGCGCTTAGTGCTTTTTATCACCATTCTATTTCAGAACAAAATCAATTGCACAGTTCGAATTGTTGCAAAAACACGTATCGGACCATGAACATTAAATCCATGTTTTTTTCACTTATTATTTACTTCTATTCTAATCATCTGAATAAAGAAATATTCATATTACACGTACTTTAATATGAGTGATCAATATGCAAGTATTTCTCTCTCTATAGAATGCATGTAGCCTGTTAACGTTCTGTTTTTCTTAGATGAAGAGTGACATTAAAAAAAACTGAACATTTTAATTGTTACTTTTGACAATTTTTACTTATTTGCCTTGCCTTGCATGTCGAAATACTTATCTAAACTGCATCAATTGAGCTTAGAACGGAATCATGCTTATTCGTGACGTCACCATTACATAACTTAGTGTACCATAAGAGAAAAAATATATATTGATAGAAATATTTTCTGTTGGAACAAGGTATGTATTACTGACATACTCTGACGATCTCCGCTAGTGGTCGAATCAAAGCGACACATGGAAATTTAAAATAGATTTGCGTAATACCTAATACCAGAATGTGTCTATAAGCCTAATGCGTCTTTATTTGCTTTGTTTAGTGAAAGAGATGACTTATATATATCAATGACTCATGAATTTAATAAGATATCAAGTGATGAGAGTTCGTCGAAAATAGCTCAAACATGTGAATAAAAGAAATGTTCCTCATTTCACACAGAAGTTACGATTCAATCAAATACCAGTTATTATACTTTGCTTCAATTTCATCACTTCTTTCCTTTTATATGATTGACGATAAAGGCATGCAAAATATAGTAAAAGTAAGTCTCAATCATTATATTTTACGAACTGTTTTATTTGAACTATTAAAAGGGCCTTTTCTTTTTTTACAATTTGGAGTAATGATAATTTTTACCATTAAAGTTGAACAGAATAGATAATCCATTGTAGGATCAATTCTAAACAATAAAAGTGCTCAAAAATAATCTTAATTGAACTTTCATTGTCCAGATGATGATTCGAAGTCTTTTGTTTCAGAGCAAATATCTTTTAACTAATGTTTTTCATTCGTTTCATATTCGTTTTTTCTCATCTTTTCATAGGGACCAAACTTGAGAGTTGAAATTTGAAAAGTTTATAATCAGATATTTAACGAGTCATTTCAACTACTGAAATATTCACTTTTTTTACGAGAGCACCTACACAAGATGTTTCTCTTGCCGAGTGTGCTGCAAAATGTTAACTCAAAAGAAAAACAACTTTTAGAAGTTGAATGTTTAAATACTTCAATAATAATTTAGTAATTATACCAAGCTTTCAGGTTTGATACTACTATATAAATTACAGTGATGAACTTAATAAAAACAAAGACAATATCAAAATGATTCAAGTATAATGAAACTAACAGATACAAAGCAAAAAATGACGAGTTGCGGACTGACAAAGTGAGAAAATATTACCAGCCTAGTTCTTTTAGTTTATTAGACTGATATCGGTCTCTGCGTATCGTGTTCACTCGTATATATTAAACTATCCATTCAATGCACAGAACAGGCATAAGCCATGAAAAAAACTATAATACTTTGATAATCTCATTGGATATTGATACAAAATGTGAGATTCGAAATGAAATAAAATCTCAGAAAAAAAAATGAGACACAGATGTTGTATGATTACACGTTATTCTGTCGCGTAAGCAATTTTCTTTACATGAGTCTTGAATTGAAATGACGTTTCAAACTCTCAAACGTCATCCGAACCCGATATACAAAATTTTAAAAATTCTATTCGACTCTAATTTATAATTTTCATAAACAAGATATGCGCTCAATCTTCAATTATTTACAACCGCAGGAAATTTACTCATGTTATCGAAAATAAAAAAATGGCTTTCGGTATGTATTTTAATGAGATAATTATCAATTAGAAGATTACTATTTGTTTTCTGGATAATCTGGAATAACTTCGATGCGAGTTAAATTGAAGGTGGAAGTGAGGAGTAGATCCACAACTGCTTTCCGAGTGTAATATTTGGGTATTTTTCTAATGGAGTATAAGGTATTATGAACTATTCAGTCACTTAGAGAAGATTTTGACAATGATTCCGTTTCTCATCTAAAAAAAATCTCAGTTATTAGTTCCATAGCTTCGGTGTCAAGCTATATCAAAAAATATATGTTTATTTGATGAAGATATGAATTCGATAGAATTCTAGCGAACGTTAGGAGAAGGAAGAGTTGAATTGCCTTTCCAGTTAATGTTTTTTATTCAGTAAAAGACGTATGTTCTATCAGTCTTTCTTGCTTATTGTTTTCACTTTTGAAAAAATCTACATGTTTCTCCTATTTGTACAAGTTTCGTTTTAGTTTATCTCATTTCTTCAAAGCAGAACAACAAACATGAAATTACTTTGCTCTTGAATTGATTTTCCAATCATTTCGATCAGGTGAGAGCATTCGGGTCGATCATTGGGATCGTTGGCCCAACACTCATTGATCAGTGCGGAAAAACTTGATGGTGTGGTCTTCGGCATTTCTAAACGCTCACCAGCAAGTACGAATTCACGAATGACGGTATTGTCATGACCATCATAAGGTATTTCATTTGCAGCTATTTCCCAATAAACTATTCCTAAGCTGTAAACATCACTCTTTTTGGTGTACTTTTTCAAACGCAGTATTTCAGGAGCAGTCCATTGCAATGTACAAGTTAACCCATCAATCAATTGAGTTTGTCGTGTTTTTTCATTTTGTGTTCGAGCTAAACCAAAATCACATACTTTCACAAAATATCCTTCATGCGAATTTTTTAATAAAATATTCGACGATTTGATATCACGATGCAAGATAGGTTGTTGTAGTTTATGCAGATAATTGATACTTTTGGCTGTTTGTAAAGCAATGGATAATCGGGCAGACCAATCTAATGATAGTCTATCCTTATGCAGAATTTTGTACAACGATCCTAATGACATGTATTCTATCACTAATGCATACTTTCCACGTTCCACACATGCACCATAGAAACTGACAATGTGACGATAATGAACACTTTGCATTAACAACAGTTCATTGAAGAATTCTTTTTCGGCTTGCTTGTCCAACTGAGTAAGACGGAACCTTTTCACAGCGACTATTTGGTGTTGGCTCAACCATCGAGCTCGATACACAGTTCCAAACGCTCCACAACCAATGTCATTATCCAAGATTAAATCCTTGTCGGGTATTTGTAAAAAATCTTCGGACCGCTCTAAATTTCAGAAATGCATAAATATTTGAAACTGTTAATATCAATTGCTGATGAGAAGCCTTCCCCAACTGTCAAATCGCTTTTGCCTGAAGCTATTGCCATTCGATTGGTTTTTTTGAGTAGTGAAAAATTTTCTTTTGATTGATTTTCCAATTCTTTCTTATAGAGCTCCAAGAATTTTACTCTATTTCCAGGCTGTGGACATAGAATCACTGAAAACCAGAGTGATGAAGTTTTGAACGGAAATTTTGTTCTTAGATAGGTTTTATAATCACTAGAAACTCTTCAAAGTTTATGCTAGAATGAACGCATTCTCACCAAGATATGAGTTTGTCATTAAAATGACCTTCTCAGGCAATACAGCTTAGAACAAATGTTTCTTTCTAACGAGAATACCTCGGTAAGAATGGGTAAATTTCAATTCAAACTTTGCAGATTTTCTAGTAAGTAAAATATATATGTATTATATACTGTTGTTTGAAAACATATTAGTTCCAGTATTGTTCACAATGTGGATATTTTGTTAAATTGTAGAAAAATTAAAACTCTTCGTTAAAGGACTTTTCCAATTTTTCAAAATATCTTTTATATCAATTCATCATTTTCCACATCTTGTGTTCAGTTTTGAGGTTGTTCCGAAACACTCAAACACCGTAGAATAGTTGAACTGCAGTTGACATGTTCACATATGCTCACGGTTATTCTGTAGTAGGGAAGAAAAATATTACTGTCCATTAAATAGATTTTTTAGACATGTACAATACAGAAAACTTGTTTTAAAGGCAACGCTATCTTTTACCTACCTTAAAACATATTTCAAGACTTTGGATTGTCATTGCTGAGTGAATATGCGAATTGTTTTCTACTAAATTTCTATAAGAGAAGCATTTACAGCTACTCGAGAGTTTGGACTTGAGTAAGAAAGAGAGGCGCACTTACGTGTATACTACACAGCACCCCTTCCCCTTCTACACTCCTACTCAGATGTGAATGTTACTCAGTACTTCTGAAAACAGCGGCTTATGGTCAACTTGTTTACAACAAACATCTTGAGTTTTCAGAAAAGCTTAAGAATAAAGAATACTAGAAAATTGTGTAGGCCCAACTGTGAGTGGATAAATGAGAGAAAAATAGTATTCAATGTTCAAAACGTGCTTACGTAAAGCGTAACGAAGGGGTAAAGCAAATCATTTTTGGGAATATACGATTTGAATGCTATAGAATATTTTGTTTACCTATAGATGACTGACTCAAAAAGTATGGTGCACTTTTATTTGAGTGATTTATCAGAGTGTTGGTATCAAACTTGTTGCAACCACTCCAAGCTACTCCTCGAATGTATTCATGAAAATTGCAGAATAATAAAAAATGAAAGTATTTAAATAACTGTAGGGCAACATAGCTCTAGTGATTATAGCGATCTCAGGTAAAGTGACAGGCCAAATAACTTCATTATCTATATAACAACATTGACTTTGCAAGTTGTCATTGGATTGATGGAATCTAACGGAATAGAATCTGAGGTCTCTTTTAAGTAGCAAATCAGTTTCAATCATTTTCTTCTCATTCATCATTGACGGAAAAAAAGATTGGAATAACATATTCATATGTGATTTTAGTCATGTCTTTTTAACCAACGGAAAGACATGAGAGATTTACTTTGAATATTGATACATTCTTCGATCATTCCGATTAGGTCAGAACTATTTGGCCGATGATTTGGATAATGTGCCCAGCATTTTTCGATAAGTACACGGAAACCCGATGGTATTGCTTCTGGTATTGGCAGACGATTTCCAGCGACCACCATTTCACGAATATTACTATCATTGTAGCCATTATAAGGTTTTTGGTTTGTAGCAAGTTCCCAATAAACTATTCCCAAACTGTAAATATCACTCTTCTCTGTATGAGGATGTACATGCAGTATTTCAGGAGCAGTCCACTGCAATGCACCAGGCATTGAAAGATTTGATACTGATTGGTGTAATGTTTCAACACGCGTTTGAGTCAAGCCAAAATCACACACTTTAACAGTATACCCGTCATGAGCTCTTTCTAACAAAAAGTTCACCGACTTAATGTCACGATGCAAGATGCATGGTTGCAATGTATGTAAATAATTGATGCATTTCGCTGCTTTCAATGCTATTGACAGTCGTAGTGGCCAAACTAAGGTCAGATTATCCACATGTAACAACTTATACAATGATCCTAATGATATATATTCCATAACCAATGCACAATTGTCTGTTTCTATACATGCACCGTAGAAATTGACAATATGAGAAGAACGAAGACTATCTATCAAAGAAAGTTCTTTGAAAAACTCCTTCTTGGCTTTCTCATTCCACGAAGTAAGATGCAGTTTTTTGACTGCAACTATATGTTGCCTAGTCAACCATGTAGCTCGATAAACTGTTCCGAAAGCACCATGACCAATTGGCTCATGAAGTTCAATATTGTCGTTAGATATTTGTAAAAAATCCAGTGCATCTTCTAAAATTAGAAATGAATATTCTGATGAATAATACGTATCACTACGTAGTACAGCTTTACAGAAATTTCCTTGTAATGAAACTAATTGTAATTTAGCACATCGATGATCAGTCGTTCGAATGCAGTTCACAGAACGATTGAAAACAGTAAATAAGTGACTCATCAGCTTCGTACATAAGATTTTGTTAATATTAGTACGTCTAGCCAAGCGTAACGCAACTATATTTACCGGAAAACTGTCTCGATTGCTCCATAATTATCAACTTACGACTGTTTGAGGTTTTGGTCATAGATTATTTTCTTTAATTCAGAATCTCACGAATTTTTTAGATTATTTGGTTGACATCTGAAGTTTTTGAATGTTAAAGAAGAAATCGCAACATATGACAGAAGATTCTGAAAATGTCACACATAATACAGTATAAATGGCACCCTTCTGAAGTCAAAGATACGAGAATGATTATGTTATGGTATGTAACAAAAGAACTGCCTCTCTCAGTATTTTCCCAATATTTTTCGTAATATTTATCGTATCAGACTGATCTATTTTTTATTTAAATTCGCTCTTGAGGGTGTGGGTGCCTGTGGTTGTGAACATCATGCCAATTACCCTCAAACACACTTCAACAACTCATACCTATAGACTCACACCCACACCCTTCTGAGTATATTGCTATGCATATTGACTGATCACTGAATAGCTATTAATTATCATTAATGAATCCAACAAGTAGTTCTGATTGTCTCACCTTTCTTGAAACTATTAGATTGGGCAGTTTTGTTTCTGACTTCAAGTGATTTTCGGTACCATTTCAAACTCTTTTCGTAGTCACCTTGTTGTGAGGCCATGCTACTGAGATCGACAAGCAAACTATGAATTGAAGGCTCATTCGGCGAAAGTTCTTGTAGTAAACGACTGTAGTACTGTTCAGCTAGATTAAATTCACCCATGTTCCACAGTAACTTTCCCAGTGTCCACAGATTTGTCTCTCCAGTACCGATTTGCTTCCTCATTTCTACTAGAACTTCCTTCAAATCGTGTTCATTATCACCACATAAGGACATTTTTATCTTCCACAATTTGTCACTATCTTGATCAATAGAGTTGAGATGGAAAATGGAACCAAGCATAAAGAGAACCTCGGCTTCTTCAGGAAAATTGCTAACGAAGCTGATGTCAGCAAATGGTTTCGTCAAGACTACTTTCGGATCAGCATTAATCTCGAATAGAACTCGTTCACAATCAACCTCATGGATCCTGTCGATTTTATATACATTCGCTACTTCAGGTCGATTACTGGTCGAAAGAAAAGAATTTACAGAAACAAACTGATCGATATTTTCTTTGAGATAATCAAGCTCGTTGGTTGACATCAACTGGCTTCGATAAACGTGTACAGGGCGCTGAGATTGATAATGCTGTAATTGGCGATACATATCGACAATGAATGAGCGATATAAGAATATCATATGTATATTTCGCTTACGTAGAGCCTTGTTCAAAGTCTTGTAGACGAACGAATCACGAGTATACCACCATAAAGCCTTGTCGCATGCGTAATCATTTTGAAATTCACGCAATTTTTCGAGTTCGGCACGATTATCATCGTATTCTTTCTCAAAACAAGAAATAAATTCTTTTCTGTCCATCTCGTTAGGTCTCAATCCAAGAAGACAGTCGATAAGTAATTGAGAAAAAACGAATTGACCGTTTATTCCTGTTGTAGACCTTCCTGCATCTCTACTTGTAGTAAACATGTCGATCGAAAATGGCTCTTGCATCTTATTCTGTTTCTTATGATCTGCTTTAATTTGAGAAACTAGTTGTTCTGATTCAGCAACAATGACCTTCACCTACAACAGCATTACAACACGACTAAAACTTGTCAGAGTAGTCCTACCTTGATAAACTCGTGTGCCCACTGCTCGTCGCTCTGCTTATCTGTGGAACTAACATAAATTGCTGAGACTTGTCGGAGCTTATGAATGGAAGGTACCATTTGCCGAGCCAACTGATTGCTAACAATAAGCACTAGTCGATCATGTTTTGATCTTTGCTGTATGTATTCTTTACATTGTTCTTCATCTTGAAATGTCTTGATATAATTGATGATAGGACGCAAGTTTCGTTGCATATATTGATTCCCATCAGGGTGAGCATTTGTGTCAAGCCATATAAGACTGAATATTTCAAGATTATCATCATTGTCATTAGTAAGACAATCAACAGGATGTAGGCTAGTCATTGTAATCTAGATAGAAACAACGAAATCGGAGCTCTCCTATATTTTTGGGTGGGTGTGGGTGTGCGTTTGAACAAGTGTAGATTGCCTCTTCTCTTAGCCCACACCCATTCCGAAAGACTGCGAATCGATTAAAATTCACTATCATCATTACGAATAAACCAACGTTGTTTCTATACTATAATGACCAAATTCTACGAACTACATACTAATGTGTGTACCTGTATACTTAAACCCTTACGCCTATATTCTTACGGGTGTCCCATTATACTTACGAGGGAACCACCCGAGGTGTCAAAAAACTTTTGAGCTGAAATTTTGCCCACAAGTATGGGGTGCATAGACTAGAAAAAGCCTAAAAGGATATGGGCCCAAGTTGGGATTTGACTGAGATATCGACTATTTACCATAATTTTCCTATATGATCCTACTTGTCCGATAAAATTAAAATTTTGAATTTAGGTCTGAAACTTTGTCCACACCAAGGCCCCAATCAGACAAGCTTGCCTACAAAGTTTCAGAACTCTTGGATAGACTATCTCCGAGATATGAATCTGCCAAAATATCTATGTGAAACATTATATGCATAAAAAGCGTCTTTATGCTAACATACTAGTATCTCGGAGATAGTCTAACAAAGAGTTCTGAAACTTTGTAGGCAAGCTTGTCTGATTGGGGCCTTGGTGTGGACAAAGTTTCAGGCCTAAATTCAAAATTTTGATTTTATCGGGCAAGTAGGATCATATAGGAAAATTATGGTAAATAGTCGATATCTCAGTCAAATCCCAACGTGGGCCCATATCCTTTTAGGCTATTTCTAGTCTATGCATCCCCTACTTGTGGGCAAAATTTCAGCTCAAAAGCTTTTTGACATCTCGGGTGGTTCCCTCGTTAGATCCGTACTTTCTAAAAAAAAAAGGTGTTATAATAATCATTTTAGGTTTCTAGATTTAGGCAACATTTTCTGAACATCTTAAAGTTCCAGTAAAAGTGTCGAGAATCTTTTTAGGTGCAACATTGTTGAGCTAAAACTTTTTAAAACTCTGGTCGAAAAGTCTAGTACTTAAAAAGGTTTATAAAATGGTACCGAAANAAATTTTCGACATTTTTTTTTCGACCAAACTATCATTCGACGTTTTCATCATTCGATGTTTTCTTTTTCGATCTTTTTTATTTCGGCATTTTCTATTTCGACATTTTCTATTTCGACATTTTTTTTTCGATCTTTTTAGCATTCGGCATTTTTTTTTCGACATTTTTTTTTCGACGTTTTTACTTTCGACATTTTTTTTTTCGATCTTTTCTATACATACCCTGGTGAGCATCCGATGTACAACATCGAATATAATCGATAAATACTGCCAATCATGTACTTTTCTAATTACCATGGGCACTTAATAATTTAACCAACATGTCATTTAAACAGAGCAATTATGCAGGAGCATTGTATCAAATTTTGAACGTTTTTGATATTGATATCTATGCATTACCATGAGATAGATCATCCATTGCTTTCAAAAATGTATAATCACATAACATTCGTTTAAATGAAATGACGGGTAGAAGTGTTGATAGATATGACTATCGCATAAAGTATTGCTGAAAAAAGTCGAATCACTCAGATATGATAGATGATTATCAATGGATAATGGATAAAATTCGTAGGAAATTGAAAAAAAGGGATGACTATTGACTAAATCTTTTTCCATCAATGTTTGATAATACTAATACTTCTGCTTGTGAATGGTCTTAGTATGATTAAACTGACTAATCCGAATGGTATAGTCTATATTTGTAGAACAAATACTGATTTCGTTATCCAATGGATAATAAAGCATTTTCTAACAATTGATTGATCGAGTTAGTTCTTCTTTCCCTATCTAATTACTTTGGGTCAGTTAAATCTCTATCACTTTTCTTTGGAAAAAAACTTGTTCAAGAAAATACAGATAATACTTGATAATCTTCACAAGTTGGAGAACAATTTGAAGGTCGATGTGGAAGTGAGGAACGTATTTATACACCCAGTCTCACCTGTTGTTCTTACGAAGAGTCAACATCTTCTCGGATGCAAATATACATCTAATGAGTTAATAGGGTTCGTGAACTTATTAAAATAAATTGAATATTACACTAAATAAGAATCGATAAAAGAATCATTATAGCTTTGCATTGCAGCAAACTAAAAACCAGTGGGATAGAATGATTTGAAAAAGAAAATGAACCCAATTTTAAAAAAGATTAGAATGCAACGAACGTGCTTTTCAATTTCAATGTTCACTATCCCGATGGAAAATTGTTTGGTTTCAAGGATGTAATTAATGTACGAAAATGATTGTAAAGGATGTTAACTTCTTCGGAGGCTAACACTGTAGGTTGAAGAATATGAGTGCCTGATTGGAATGTCTTTTACTATGAAATTACGCACCGTATGTATAGGTGGACGCGATGAAAATGTTCATGACAGGAGACAAGAAGAAGATGACAGAGAAATTCCATGTGTGATAATGCAGAGGACAGCAAAGGAAAAACCCATATGAGAGGAAAGAAAATAAAATGTGAACGCGCTGTGAAAGAAAGATACAATAAGACAGAAACATTACTTGGTGACAGTATCATCTTCTAATCATTGCCTGACAAAAAATAATTAATCGAATTTTTCTTTCCAAGGATCTGCCTTGGAGTATAAAAATGAATGATTTCTCATATAAAATCATTCAATTTTTTAATCTAATATTAAGTATTTTTTTCTTTTGCTTTTTCTTTTATTTTTCTTTAGCCTTTTTAAAGCGATTTTTTTTTAATTTCAATTGCTTTTTTTTATTTTAGATGACTTTTTGTTTTAGGCAACGGTAGCCTTTATTATTATTTTTTTTCGTTTTATTTTAGTGATATTCTTTTCTTCAACTTTTTTTTGTTTTCAGTCAGATAATTTCAAGTAAGTGACTTTTATTTTTTTTTAAGCTTTTTTGTTCATTTTAGATGATTTTCGAAAAATGAAGCTAACTTTTTTATTCATTTTTTTTCTTTTTTTGTTTTAGTATAAAAATTTTTTCGAGTAAGAGATTTTTTTCTTTAAATGATTTTTTTTTGTATTTTGTTATTTAGCACACATCATAAAAGTCAAAGTGAGTTCATTCTTTCTTTCTTTACGAACGGTTATAATCAATGGCATTTTTTTTCTTTTTCTTTTAGTGACCAATTTTATCGCATCGTGTACCATCAGGTCAGTAATTGTTTGGTTTCTTTTTTGAGAAAGAGAATAGAGGAAGAGGAGGGATTATACTAGATAGGGGTAACTGGCTGTTCAGAGCCTTATTAGAGAGAGACCGGTGAGTTACTCCTTTTGAGGTGTCCGTTTGTTTGAAAGTCTTTCCAATACATCCTAAGAGTTAGGCAAAGAATTATCTTAGTGTTCGTAGCACACAACCGAGCGTTCTTAAAATCCTTTAAATTTCATCTGTATATGAGTCTGTCCGTGCGTGCGTAGTCTTCGTGCAGTCATGGCTCCACCATGGTGGTTCCTGGTCGTATAAGAACGAGTAGAAATGAGATGAAATCCAATCATGCCTTTAAATAGGTATTCCTTTTGTATTTATCTCGATTTATTTAACAGAACGAACAAAAAATTAACCATGTTACTGAGTCTACTCGATTGAAAAGTGTTGGACTCGGCAATTATTACGATCGACGACATAGAGATGACCATGTTGATCGAAGAACACACCAATAGGACGGTTCAACTGATTAGCTCGTTCTCCTTCACCATTTCCTCCCACGATGACCGTGCCCTGCTTAGCTCCTTGAGTCCAACGCATTACTCGATCATTCCACGAATCCGCTACATAGAGAGTACCCGACGTATCGACGAACAGTCCTTGAGGATACCACAACTGTCTCAGACTTACTCCTTCGCCATGGCCTCCAGCGACAACAATTCCTTCTGTTACGTCTTTATTCCATTTCACCACACGATGATTGTTGCAGTCTGACACATAAACACTCTGTTGTCGATCGACAAACACGTAGGTCGGCTCGTCAAGTTGATTGAGCTCATCACCTTTGCCATGGCCACCGACTACGACAGTTTCAATTTTATCTTCTATTTGATATCGTCTTACTTCATCATTGTCAGTGTCAGAGATGTAGAGATATCTCTCTTCATCCATGGCTAATCCTCGACAAGCGATGTTGTCGAGGAGGACTTCTCCTTGGGTTATGCCACTACAACGAGACCATCGTAAGACTCGTCGATTTACTCGATCACAGATAATCAGACTATTCGTTTTGTTGTCTATCAATACATCGCTTGGAAAAAACAATTGATCCATTCGATTTCCGTTGCCATAGCCGCCAGCAAGTACTTGCCCATTCGTATCACCGATTTTCCACTGGATGATACGATGATTAGCGCAGTCAGCGATGACCATCGTTTGATCATGATCAACGAAGAGACTCAAAGGGTGAGAGAGTTGGTTGGTGGCCTCGCCTCGTCCATGGCCCCCAGCAACGGTCACACCATTCTGTACTGATCTAGCTTTGACAGGAATATTGCCAATCACTACAATTAACCACAAAGAAAAAAAGAATACATCATCATTGTCCAAAAGACAGTCTTCCTCAGACGAAGATACTGGGAGTGAGATATTCTTCTTCTAAGGGAACTTCGTAACACTTTCTAGAATATCCTTTCCTAACATACTCTAAACAAGAAAAGTTCTTCCGGCAAATAAAAATTCAGAAATCTTTTTTTTAGATCCCTATTAAAAAAATGACTTCGCAACAATTCTTATACCTATGTCCTTTCCAAAGTCTCAATTCTAATCATTCCTTAAGAACCACTGGTATGATCTATTAGGATACTATCTCAAATCCTACCTAATCCGTGTTCACAAGGATTTGTTCTACTTCTTACCGAGCTCTTTTAGATCTTAAAAATTGGGATTTTCCAGGAAAATAATAGCTGCAGCTTGAGATTGCTGTAAGGACGTTTTTCAGAAATCAGCATTTCTGAAAGTCTGAGAGGACTAGTAATAATCCTATTCAAGCTCTTCATAGGAAAATATAATGACTCAAGTAGCTTTCTACAAGTACGAGCTGAAGATTTTATTCGTGATTTGAACAGTAGAAAGAGTATTTGTAAGTTTTTATCAAGCTTTTAAGAACATCTACTACAGAGCATCGTCTGGAAATGCTAAAATACTTTCTATGAATTCCAGACCAGGATATTAACAAGAACAGAATCAACCATAGGAGAATCTGAAGCTACAAAATGCTGAATAGATGCTATCTCGAGCCTTGCTAGAATCCTTATAGTAACTCTTTGTGCTCACAATTCCTGGTTGTTGTTACGAGAATTCCAGGAATGAGGGCTTTGAACTCTTCGAAGACAAACGTGGCTTCTCGTTTACATAAATGTGGGAAATGGCAAGGATGTAACTCGGGTCGTGAACCACTCTATTCTCGGAGCGTATTAAAAGTTTCTGCTCACAACATTTTTCTAGCGTTACAAATGCTAATGTAGCTTAGATTCACTTTTAATTTTAAGCAAGGTCTCGTCTAGATTTAAATAGTGACTTTAGGTGATAATCTACAAGTTTTTTTTCAAAATGACGAGAAACTCATGAATATAAATGCCTGAAAGGATTTAGAGCTACATAAGGATTGTATCTTAGGAGGATAATTTAAAAGTTTGTCTCAACTTATCGTACTCAACAAGGATCTGTGCCAGCTGACGCCTTCTTTTTAGGACAATCTTTTTATCGAAGTTTTTCAAAGTCTTTTATGAAGGTTTTGGAGGAACAACTATTTTAAATAATGACACGATCGACGATGGAGAAAAGAAAGAGAATGAAGTCGAACTATTCAGAGATTATCTTCTCTGAATATCTTAAAACAGCTGAAGAAACTTCTTTCAAGCTGAGAAATGCGTTTTCTGACTGGTATAAATTTTTCTCTGGATCTAAGCAAAAGAACGAATATAGATTCTTATTAGATGTTTTGCGAGTTCCCCATCGTCTGCAAGAAATCATCGGATTAGAATCCTAGTAGAATTTATTTAGATCAGACGACAATAGCTGGAAGAAAGTACCAAGATCTATGCGAAACTTAAACTCAGATTTTCAAAGAAGTTTTTATGTAGACTTCTGAAAGATGATGCAAGTTAGTCATAGGAAGCTTCATAGTAGGTCACAAGGTTCCTGTTCGTAGTTTTTCGAAGAACTAAGTTTCGTATTCTCGGAAGGTTATACTGATTCTAAATTGAAGTTGATTACAAATGTAATGGATTCGGTTAGCGTCTGTTATGCTGCTTGTGTCAAATTGTTTTGAATCTCTGGTATTATATTTTTCGAAACTAACAGTGTAGCCACTAACTAATACCTTGTCTCTATCGTTCTCTGGGTCTTGCTAGAAATCGCAGACAAAGTTATGCCAAGTTTTGATCAGGCGTATGTAAGTTTTGTTGAAATCTCCATAGTGAAGGATTATAACATCTCTCCTTTTTCGATTTGAAACCGCTTTTCGACAAGTGTCAGAACGGTACAAAATGCCTAACCTTTTTACTTGGTCTTTTCTCTCTTTTGTACAATAATTCAATGCTGTTGCCATTTTGTAAGAAATGACTTATAAAACTCATTTTGATGTGTAAGAATGTATAGAATGTATCATAAATAGTACTAAGATAAAAATTGAAATGTCTTCACTTCGAGTCACTGAAATCAGCTGATTTTTTTAATTTGTGGTAGAAGTTTATTGAAGGACTTTTTCATGTGGATAATGGAAACAAATCCTACTGTTGAGCTATATTTTTAGCCTCATTACGGACATTTTACCTATTGTCAAGTAAGAAAAATACATATGAAGCGTTCCAAAGATAATTTTCACTTGTCATTGAAGAGGATAATAAGAATCCATGAAAACGAACTGTATGAATGTACGCAGAACAAGTTTGGGATATTAATAGTAATCAATTAAAATACTGAAACATGTTTCCCATAAGTAAAACGTATAATCACCTTGCAAAAATCAATGTTTCATATTTTGAAAGTTCGAAATTTTGTAACCATTCATTTTTTAACTACCTATGTGGTTCTGAAAATTTGCTCTATTCATATCAATACAGTATCATTCATAATATGTATTATGGTTTCTTATTATTATTTACTTAGATAACAATCGAAGATAATCTATAAAACGCTACACATCTATTTTTTCTTATTCGATAAAAAGTGAAATTGTTTTTACGGTAACAGCGATAATGCTTGATAATAGTATTCATTTAGTTTGCCTCTATACAAAAACCTTTGAATAAACTTCTGCTGATAACCAAAAGCTCAACCCATATGATTAAATCGACTCGAAGATGTTTCATTTCTATTATATCAGTGTTATTTATAGCCTACCATGTGTATGAACTTTAATACTCAAAAGAATTTCAAATTGAATATAGATTTCTATGTCAACAGGATTCAACTAATAAATCATTTATGACATGTGAATGTGGCTTCGATGTACCGAGATGCTCAAGAATTAATGTAATCCATTGGTGTATGTACGTTGATTTATACTTATGCATTATTCTGTTCTAGCCTCTTCCACTCTACAATCCAAAACATAAGTATAAGTAACAACATTGGTTCTTTTTATATGACTTCAGTAACGGCTGGCCATCACGTGATACTGATGTTAAAGCATTGCCAATCTACCAGAATAAAATAGTTTTTCCAAAAAAAGTTCTGAAATCCTCTTGTTAACGGAGTGACAGTTAAAAGACTGCTCTTAGTCCTCATCCTCAAACAGCTGTTATATGTACAGTTATCTTTCAATGAGAAAACGCATACGCCGACGTATGTGTTGTTCAGAGAATAAAACATGTTATTCATTGTCGAATGATGATAAAGTGACCGCAAGATCATATTTTGTTTCTGAGTTTTACTTGATATCTAATTAGAATATGAGTTTATAGTAGTTTCATTCATTTTGAACAGATATTTCCATGAACCATTCGACCAATGATGCGAAATTTCAATACATCGAGCTGTATCTTTTACTTCAGATAATGTGTAAGTACAAAATTTCAAGACACAGAATCTTTGCATTTCTTTTAGCTAAGATGTCACTGCAAAAATACACAAGGAATGAAAATGTCATTTTAATAAGAAATACGCGCTTACTATCTATGACTAAACGATGAAATTTATGCTAAACTATTGAGTAGCTACACATGCATGAACTATGAACAAGTAAGAGATATTCTTCAAAAAGTGATCATATAATTTACGAATTCCACCGGTATGTTCAGTAGATCTCAGGAGTGACAGTGATCTTACTAACATAACTGTCACTATCACTGATTAAATATAATTTTCAAGGCGATAATCAACGATATCCTACCGTCAGTTCCTGAAGCATTGATTTCCACGGCAAATTTCTAAAAGTATGAAATATTTAATGAATAGCCGTTTTCTGGAGTGACTATCGTCTGACCTTTTCGGCGATGGAGCTAATTGTAGTGTATAGGGTACTAAAAAAGGCTGCAGCTGTGTTGATCTATGAACAAAAGAACATAGGTAGAAACAGAAAAGGAGCACTAAGACATTGTTTGAATTACATAAGGCTTGCTGCTGTATGTCTCTTTTTTTGTATCGTTCATACCAACACCATTCGCAGTCGAATCGCCTGTAACACAAAATAATCATTGATTCCTTGATAGCTTTTTTTAGTCAAAGCTGAGATAAATGTCACTGGCAGAAGCAAAAAAAATGGAAGCTTTTTTCAGAATGAGTGTGACAATACAGCGAAAAACGCGAAAGCATGGATGTCAGAGAATGTGAGTGTTTTGTGTGTAGAAGTCAGACTTTCTCTTCATCATCATATCGATAATCACTAGTTTTGAATTGACGTAAGTAGATACCCACGTCAGTCGATATAAATTTTTATAAGAAAAGATAAGATCTAATGTCTTATCTTCTTAGAATCGTCCGATCGTAACCTATAAAACTATTCATGAAATTTTCGTTGAGTTTTATTTTATTTCGTAAAAAAAACGGAACTTTCTTGATTGCTGTAGTAAATTAGGTAAAACTTGTCTGGCATGAGAAAGTCCATACCAATTTTCGTCATCATCCTTCAATATCAGGGCAAAATCGATCACACAGTTAGGATCAACGTAAAAAACTATATGTAATCTTCTCAGCGTTGTGTTTGCTGAACTTCCTTATAATCCATTAGGGATACGTTTATGGATATGTATTGCTGGTTTATATACTGAAATACAACAGCGAGTCACGAACACACGGTTCATTGGAGCCCTCATAGCACAGACATTCACTTTCGTTGCAATATTAGGACAGTAGCTATATCAAAATACGATCTTTCTGCAGCAGTGTCTTCTAATTTTCAGTAATGTCAAACTTGAGAGTTGAAATTC